TAAACATTATCTTGAAATTTTAATAATAAATAAAAATTATTTTTTAAAAAAGACAGAAAAAAAAATTAAAGTGTCTACAAATAATTCACATCATCTTTCACCTTATTGGGGACTAAGTTCGTTTCTAAAAGGATACTAAGATCTTACACATTTTGGGTATTTAATTCTTTACACTCAAATTTCTAACCAAACCTATGTAATAAGACATTTTCACGTCTTAAACCACTATACCCATCTTTCGGTTGAAATTATTACAATTTTCAATCATCTATTTAAGGATTTAATGTAAAATACTCTTATAATTCATAAGATTACCATAGAAAAAAAATATTTTAAATAAAAGTTACTTATATCAAAGTAATAATATATAGATACACCAAATCAAATAGACATCAATAATAAATATTACATGAGTCAATCAGTTATAAGAAAACTATCAACAAAGTAATTAGGTGAATTGAACCACTTCATCACATTTTCTTTTATCCAATTGTTAAAATCAATAGATGTAAACATGGCCAACCAATAACAATTAAGCATTTAGTGAAAGTTGAAAGGATAATTTTAGCTGAAGTTATTATTAATTTAACTTATTACATGTCACATTTATAAGATAATATGACTAATTTTCTTTTTTTTTTAATAAAGGAAAATATAAATTGTCCTTTTCCCAGAATGAAAAATAGAGAAAACTTCACAAATTATCCAATGTCACAGAGGACGAAATGTGGATTGCTATTTTGGAATGAAACAAAAAATGAATATTTATCTTTCCTTCTTAATCACTCTTTTCTTTTATTGTATAGATTACGCATTATACTGACACACAATCTTTTCTCTTAATAAGTAATTACATTTTTAGTAAAATAAACCAACAGATGAATATTTACAATTTTATCTACTTCTACGTATTTATTGCGTTGTTTCTCTTCAATATTTTGGAAATTTTGTTTCTTTCACTTTTTATTATCAATTTTCTAAATTAATAATTTTTTTTACAATTTTACTCAAAATAATTAATGTGTATTTAGTAAAGAGTAATACATTAGTCGAATAAATAATATACTATCTCTATTATTTTTAAACTTCAATAATTTTTTATTTTTCAAAATTACTCTTAGTAATGAATGTTTGATTGACATAGAATAATAAATGTGTAAAATAATTAATATACAAGATAAAAGATATAATAGAAGTTTAAATGATAATTTTTTATAAAATGTAGAGTAATAAATATTTTCTTAATTCTTGTATCAAAACATAAACGTAAAGAGAGAAAAAAAAAGGAACGGATTAATATCTTCATATTTAATTCTTGTGATATTAACATACTTATAAAATGGTGTAAATTCTAAATAAATCATAGAATTTGTGTTTGATCACTTATTTTGATCATAAGCTAGAAAAAAATTAAAATCATTAATTAATATAAATAAATATTAATGATTTTAGTTTATTTATAATTTTTGTTTCCTTTAAATTTTGTTGTTACAAGTTTTAATCGAAAAATATTTAAATATTATTTATGTAATTTAATTTTACTTTCTTATTTAATAATATATAACATTTCACCTTTGAAATTTTACCTTTTGGATAAATATGTTTCTAAATTTATTAAAAAAATAAAACAAATAAAATTAATTATATATTGACATATTATAAAAATATATTTTGTAACACATAATTATGGTAAATTGAGAAAAGTAAAAATATACATTCATATAATACAAATAATGACGATTAACAATATTTTTAAAATATTAATAATTCTTAATAATTAAACCCCAAAATATATAACATTAATTAATATACTATAAATATATATTGATTTAACTTATTCATAATTGTTTTCATCTTTTAATCGTACCCTTACAAGTTTTAATGGAAGAAATATTTGAATAATATCAATTTAATTTAATTTCACTATTTTAAATATTGAAAATTTCATTGAAATACATTTTATCCCTTTAACTTTTAGGATAGTTGATGAAAGAAAGTTTCGAAGAGGAGAAAAGAGGTGAATTTTTTATTTTAAATAAATATATTTAAAATTAATATTTTAAAATTAAAAAATATAAGTTATATATTAATATGAATTTAACGTATTAGTTATCTATTTAATGTATATAATTTTTTAATTTAAATTTGTAAAATATGTCATCTTCTCTTTTTTTTTTAATTTTTCTAAAATTATATTTGAGAGGAGATTTTTAGAAAAGAAAGAAAAGAAAGACGTAATTTTTTATTTTAAATTAAAATAATTATATATTATTTTTATGACAAATATATCATTGATACATTAAGTTTATGTTAATATATTAATTTATATTTTTTTATTTTTAAAAAATATTAATTTTAAATATATTAATTTAAAATATATTTAAATATATTTATTTAAATTTTGTTGTTACAATTTTTAATCAAAAAATATTTAAATATTATTAATGTAATTTAATTTTACTTTCTTATTTAATAATATAGAACATTCACCTTTGAAATTTTACCTTTTGTATAAATATCTTTCTAAATTTATAAAAAGATAAAAACAAATAAAATTAATTATATATTGACAAATTAAAAAAATATACATTCATAGAATACAAGTAATGACGATTTAAAATATTTTTAAAATTGTAATTATTCTTAATAATTAAACTACAAAATATATAACATCAATTAATATAATATGAATATATATTGATTTAACTTATTCATAAATTTTTTCATCTTTAATCTTACTCTTACAGGTTTTAATCGAAAAACTATTTGAATAATATCAATTTAATTTAATTTTATTATTTTATATATTCAATATTTGATTGAAAGTACATCTTATACCTTTAGCTTTTAGAATTGTTTAGCAAAGAGTTTTGAAGAGGAGAAGAGGATGAGTTTTTTTTATTTTAAATAAATATTTAAAATTACTATTTTCTTAAAAATAAAATATATAATTTAAACTTAAAAAATATACCCACCCCTTCTTTCTGCTCCAAAATTTCTCTCTCAAGTCTCAAACATATTTTGGTCTATTTATAATTAATTTTTCAAGATTAAATAAACAGCAATGAAAATATATTAATTATTAATAAATCATAAAAGCATATATTTTAATGTACATATTGATTATAAATAAAGAAAATATAAATTAACATAATATAATATTGTTATATTAATATTCTTGTTTATAATTAAAGATGTTGAGAATTACTTGTATGTATAAGTTTATTTACAATTAAAAAAATATAATTTATTACACGCAATAGAAGTTGACTCAGCTAGTTTGATAGATTTATGTAAAAACAAAGAAAATAAAACAAATAAAATTATCCTATAAATTAATTGAACTAATACCCTTCTTCTTTTTAGAAAAAAAAATACTCACTATTTAAGATATATTTCCAAAATTTTAATATAGTGATTGGTTTTTCTCAAAAAGTGAATATTTTACATAATTTGGTATAGTTAATATAACTTTTACAGTTAGTTTTTTTTTGTGTATTATATATATGTATTATAATACAATTAATCAAGCCTATAAACAACTTAACTGGAGTATTTTCAGTAAATAATTGCATAAATTTATGTACCATAGAGTTATTCTTATTAAAATTTTATGCAGTGATGACAATTTAAAATTGTGATTGCAAATTATCTAAACGTCTTAATTATAATTAATTCAATTTATTTGAAAAGATATATAATATTTCAGTGATGTCAATGGGATCAAATTTTATTTATTAAACTCAACATGAATATTCATTTTCACTATCACACGTTCTTTTATAGTTAAAATGCATCATCGTGATGGCACGTAAAAATCTCTCCTTTTCATCCGTCTCATCTTCTTACTTCTATTTTATTAATATCAGTGACGCCACCCCCACTCAAGAATGAAGATTGTCTTAATTAAGAAATTCTAAATTATTATTCTCGGATGGTTAATAATTATTTAAATTAAAAAAGGAAAGATAAATAATATATATATATTATTTTAATTCATAAGATCTTAATTAGACCTATATATATATACATATATAATGCTATATCTTAAAAGGAAAATAAAACATTCTAATTACAAAAATTATGTAATTAGAATAAGAATATTAATGTAAATTTCAAAAATTTTGTAAATAGGTTAAGAATTATAAATTAATTGAACAAAAAATCATATATAAATAAAATCATGTTAATATGAAGATAGTTAAAATTTACTTTGATAACACCTATGTTAAAGAAATTAATGTCTAGATATAAGTAAGAGGATACGTTTAGCACACACAAAATTTTTAATATTTAATATTTAATTAAAATGAAAATACGATTACGTGTTGTCATTTGCTACATTCTCGCTGAACTAGTGTGAAACTTGCATAATATTGTAGTCTATTGCGAACAGAAATTCTAATTATAGTTTTGAATAGTTTTATGAAGAATCATAGAGTACCAAAATAATTTCCTTCTCTCCCACATTTAATTTATTGAAATATTAGAAGAGAAATATTTTACCTGATAAATGCATGTTATTGTTGTTCATAAAAAAAATTACTATTGTGATCCTAAAATAATTTCAGCAGACTTTCAATAAAAAAAAAAATCTTGAATTGATTTTTAAAATTTGCTTAATTTTACAATTGGACTCTTACAATTGATATTACGAGCGATAAAGTCTCATAACAATGCTTATATTAGAAAAAAACCGAATAATTATAAAAAATAAATGAATTTAATTGCTCTGTTGCACACTTCCATAAATATCAAAATTTGCCCATTAAAAAGCAATTAACATTAATATAAATTTTTTTATTAATGAATTGATTATACTGATTATGTTGTTCACATAATTAAAATGTGCTAGATAACATAATCAAAGATAAGGAAAAAATGTTTATTTCTCAACATCATTCTGATTATTGATTTAGAACCATTATTTGATGTTCCTTCTCCCTCTCTTACTTCCTATCTTTCCTTTCCCACTCTTACTTGCATATATAATTCATTCTTAAATATAAAAGCACATAAAAAAGTTTGCAACCGTTTCTTCCATTACCACTTTGGAAGATACCAAATCAACCATTGCATCACATTTACAAATAAAACTCCAAATCCAAAACACCACCGCCACCACCCTGTCTATTGATTATCATATTTATTGTAAGCACCACCACCAACTGCTACTATAACCATCTTTTCATCACTTTCACTCCCATGGGGTCTATCTCCATATCATTCGTGCTGTTTCTTACCCTTTTCATTCAGATACATGGAAGTGATTATCTTTATCACCAGGAGTCGAGAGGCTTTGCAAAGAATGGTTGTAACCTGTTTGAAGGAAGCTGGGTCTATGATGATTCATACCCTCTTTATGAAACCTCACAGTGTCCCTTTATAGAGAAGGAATTTGATTGTCAAAACAATGGTAGACCAGACAAGTTCTATCTCAAGTATAGATGGCAACCCACATGGTGCAACTTACCGAGGTACATACCTTTGATTTGCTCTTTGTTTTATTGTGTCAGTTTTTACTTTTACTTTATTTTATTTTATCAGTGTCATGCCAATTTGATTGTTTCTCACCTACTAAGATATATATGGACATGGTATAGATGCGTAGTTTTTGCTGGTGATATCTTTTTCTTCTTTTATGTTTTTCCTTTTCCCAAAATTAAGTCTTTTGTGCCATATATGTTATGGTTACTTTAATCTACTCCGTCAGTTACTTTTGAAACTGCTAGTTGTTTGATTTTTAACATAGAAGAAGACAATGACAACTAAGCTATAACAAAAAGAGACAAATCTATTGATGGAAGTATAAATTCTTAGGAACTAGTCAATTGTTTCTTATGGGTGATAACGGGGGTTGGAGCTAGAATGAATTAAATTTGAGATTTCATTTAGAAAAAAATAATAATAAGATAGTAATAATTATTTATTAAATTACCAAATTAAACTTTTTATTTTTGTAATCTATTTTATATATATATATATATTCTATAAAAATTTTAACATGATTGGTTGTTATCGTTTTATATTTTACCTACCGAAATGAAGTTAATGTGTTGGAAAAATCATGAATAGAATTCCTTTTCTGCCCTTTTATTCTTTTAATTTAGTATTTGTTTTGCTTAAAGTTTAAATAGTTAATTTTGATGGATTTGATTTCAAATCATTTAATGTGATTGGGATATATATATATATATATATATATATATATATATATATATATTTATACTTTTATTAAAATACGTATTTTATTAAAGAAAAATATTAGACAATTTAGTATGTGATTTTCACTAATTAAAGTATGATGTTATTTTTATGTTACTTTCTTGATCGTTCTTCATTTTTGTTCCTTTTTTTTCAACTATAAATTACCAAGCTTTGTTGTTTCTACACTTAAATTTCATACCTAGTTGGTCATTTAAGATCTGATTGAATATTTTTTGTCGACAGAGATTAGTTGAGAAAACAAAGATAAGTTTTACATATGCTAAAGTGAATTTTGGTGGTAAAATGGAATTACTAGTGAAATACAAAATAGGCACTCAATCACAAAAGAAATTTCAAAGTTGTTTAATTAGTTTTTTAACATGCTTAAATCCTTACCTGAATAATACAAAAATTCAAGACTTTGAGTTTGAAGAGAAATTAGAACATTAGGAAGAGAACTCTATTCATGGTTTATACGCATAATTAAAAGTAGAGGGGAATCTTTAATTCATATTATGCCTTGAGGAATTGAAACTCGTGTAAATGCCTGTGCTCGTGGAATTATAGGACTCAATCTATGAAGAATACCAATCAACAACTAATTAATAGGAGCACCTTATATGGTTAAAAGACCTATGTCAAATAATGACATTATGATAAAGCATAAACAAAAAGTTATGAACCTTGAAATTAAGGAACAGGCAAAAAGATTCTGCAGTTAAATCAAATGTTAAATCTGATGGAGATTTTGCAATTCCTCAGGCCAGTTGTTAATTATCCCTATCAATATGTAAACCACAACTTGAAAGGGAAACTATTCTAACCATGAAAGGACATTTTAATTGTTTATTAAGACACTCATGAAGAGCTCACTAGCAACCATACTGAGAAAAAGAAGGTTTGAAATTGCTTTTGCCAAGAAAAATTATGAAAGTTTTCACAATTGTAATTACAGCCACATCAGCCTCATTTATCTATAATTTTTTACAATTTAAAATAACTGCATTTGTGATCTCAAACGCAATTGCAATTTAAAACCTTGAAAAAGTAGTGCGGTAGTGCATCTATTTTGTTTCCTAATATTCGTTGTTCCTTTCATATGATAGAAATCTAACATAAAATTTTACCATCCCAGTATGAAAAAGAAAAAGAAAACAAAAGATAAGAAAAAAGAAAGAAAGAAAGATACAATCAAACACTGCTCGTTTGAAAAAGGCTGAACATGGCATGACTTAGTTTTATGAGTGGGCCATGTTCCAAGCTGGAGACAATATTTCCAGCATATGTCAGGTCTACCTTATGTTTTCTCTTTAACAAGCCTTCCCAAGTTAACTTTATTCAACTGTATTCAGATGACTTCTAATCCATTCTTTTTTTCAGATCAATTAAAGACTAACAATGATTATGCTATTGATTTATGATCCTTTAACCAACACAAGACATCTTTTTGCTTCTGTCTGCACATTTTAATATTTTTTTGCCCGGACACTCCACCATGTTATCAACTAATTAGGTAAGGTTGTTAAGCTTTACATATGTATAGAAGGAATTTGCTGATATATATCAATATATTTTTAAAATGAGTAGGTTAACAAATTATAATCAGTGTGTTTTAAAAATACACTTTAAGATACTGTAACTAAAAAATAAATAGATGTATATTAACATTAATGATTATTAACTTACATTCACTTACTTTTATTATAACTTTAATTTTCTTAAAATACACGTAAAGGTGTAACTTATTCAAATATTTTTTCTACAAAATATATGTTAACAGACCCTTGCATATATTTGAACTATCATATAAAATTGAAGTGCATAAGTCGGCAGAGACTTCCTCCATTATATGCTGTTGTGAAGTTGCTTTCAACCATTTTGTCCTCAAATAGGAGCACATGCTGTATTAGATCCCAACAAAGGACCACTTTAATGATCATTAAGGCCATGCAAGTTGAATTGGACCCACTTAAGATTATTTTGAATGAACCTTTCTTCCGTGTAGATTCAATGGTGAAGATTTCTTAAGAAGGCTTAGAGGAAAGAGCATCATGTTTGTGGGGGACTCTTTGAGTTTGAATCAATGGCAATCACTCACGTGCATGCTTCACACAGCTGTGCCACATGCCCAATACACCTCTGTGCGGAGTGGTGATCTCTCCATTTTCACCTTCCCGGTTAGATCTATTTTGCATCTTTTATTTTCTGAATTTTCAACTTCCCTTAGTCATTGTCACAACTTAAACCCAACACATCTACACAAATTCAAATTCATCCCATTAATTTAGAGCTATGTCAAGGTGGTTGTGCTTCCAATTTTGACTCCAAATGATTAGTAGCAAAATATATAAAATGTTAATTGGGTTGCTTCCATGCATGCATGGGTAATGTTGGAACCAATTTAAATGTAATCATGCAATAATAATAATAATAATAATACATTTTACAGCTGACTTCTTAGTTAACTATTTGACTCTCAAGATGACAGATTCCCACACATGCAAGAATGAAAGAAAGAGACCAAACAATTTATCCAACAAAAGTGATATTGATAAAAAGGAATGATGTAATGCTTTGGTGTCATGTATCCATCATAGCCCAATAATCTCTATTTGTTAATTATCCAGACAGATAAGAGCATAATTAAACGACATAATTGTTGAAAACACACCGACACAAGTAGAGGAAGAAATAGATTATGTTAACATGTCGGCATAATTTCTGATATAGCATAATTGCATCACTAAATACCAGTAACTAGTTATTAAATTAATCGATGGTGTGAAACATTGACAGTACAATTGACATTGTTGAAACAATTAGAAATATTTTATTATATGCAAATGAATAATGATTAAACCTTATTTAAATTTCTTTAATTTGAAATGAGTCCACCCCACTAGAAACAGAGCACCTGTTGATCTTAATTTTATACTGTTCTGTGACAGCTCCCTTCATTTTAAGAACCCAGTACTCATCTGTCTGATTAAAGAATTAATTTCAAATCATTATTCATTGTCCCACAACAAATGATAATGGCTAATTTAACTATTCATCTATGAGGTTGATTAGAACCATAAATATTAGTATTATTATGCGCAGACCCAATTGGAAAAAGTTCTGGCAATAGTCTACCATAGATTCATTTCCTAATATATAAAACTATTCTTTTAACTTAGGGCATAAGTTTTGGACATTATATTTTAAGATTAACCACGTCAAAAAAATTCATCAATCATCGATGACAAATAAACAATTCATTTTATTTCCACATGTTTCGAAATATGAATTTCACATGGCATGTGTTTTCTAAGGCAGAAGGTGTGAATTCATACATAACAAGGCATTAGACATGTCTATAACATTTAGTTCGGTCAGTGCTCGACATAGAATTAACTCTTGGTTTAACAAAAATGGATTAAATTTCAAACTATGACTAGAAACTTGTTTCCATGACAATCTTAACTTCAGGTACAAATTTGGTGTCAAATACCACATAATTGCTTTAGTGTCACAAAATTTGCAGGCCTATGATGTTAAAGTGATGTTCTCACGCAATGCATTTCTGGTGGACATTGTTGGTGAAAGTTTTGGTCGAGTCCTGAAACTTGATTCAATTGAAGCCGGCACAACATGGAAAGAAATAGATGTGTTGATATTTGACTCTTGGCATTGGTGGCTTCACACAGGAAGAAAACAACCGTATGTAAAATTAAACAGTTTTACTATTTGAACTACTTAAAATTGACACTTTTATACAATTATTTCTACCTCTCCTTTACTTTTATATATCTTGTACACACATCCTATACTCTTAAAGTAAAATAAAAATTACTTAAAGGTGTCTATTCCAAGATTAACAAAAAACATTTCCCAAAAGTTACTAGCTAGATACACTCTTCATCTTGCTAAATTTGTAACAATTGTATTCCTTTCCTTCTTATACTTTCTGCTTGTAGATGGGATTTCATTCAAGAAGGGAATAGGAGATTCAGAGACATGGATCGCTTGGTTGCATATGAGAAAGCATTGAATACATGGGCCAAGTGGGTTGATGACAATATTGACCCTACCAAAACAAGGGTATTCTTCCAAGGAGTCTCTCCAGATCATCAAAAGTAAGTATCTACATATCCACTGCTATCAATGGACTATACTATGATGAGATGAAAAATACAAAATCAATAAATCATTTTCTACAGGGCCATTTTTATTTCAAAATAATTTACTAAAAGTGACCCAATTATTACCACTACTGAAAATTTATTAGAAACATGTGTTTAATGAAACTTATTTTGAAAAACTAAATGCATATTTTTCTCAACCTTCTGAAAGATTTTTATTTAAATTATTTCTTAAAAATAATCTACTCCCAAGAAAGCACTACTTTTCATATTTGATCTCACTTAATTCGTGGCTTGTTTCTAACTCTTGTTAGTTGAATATAAATATATATAACTCAATGACGAACTGAAATCACTGAGTTCAAGACGGCTAACCAAACTTTTAAAGTGGTTTCTATATATATCTTTTGAGTATGATGATATGCTTATTTTTATATGATAAATACTCTTTAGTTTTTTTCTTCCAGTAATAGAATTCAGGCTCGGGAAGTTATTACTAATTTTGGTTGTGACATTGAATTTGTCGCATAATAATAGATTTATCTTTAATTTTGTTAATAATTAAAATTTATTTCTATTAGTAGTCTATGATAACTAGAGTCAATCGTAAATTGCTAATCTTAACTTCTAAGCTTTCTCCTTGTAAATGTGTAAAATAATCTAGACCCTTCATCCTATTATCAATGCTATATATAATCGGTTTCTTTTCTTGTGATGAGGTTATATGGATGGCTTAAGGTTGGGGAGTCAAAAGATAGCCATGGACCCAAAAAATCAAAAACAAAAATGGGTCAATGAACTCAAGCAAGGGCATACCCTTAGCCCACTTTTAACATATAAAAATAAATATATTACTCACAAAATTGTTGTATGTTGCCATAATACAAATATATGAAAAAAAAAACAAGAAATTAACATAATTTTTTCTGAATTGTTCCAGTCCAATGCAATGGGGTGAGCCAGGAGCAAACTTTTGTGAAGGGCAAACTAGGCCAGTGTTGGGATTGAGGTACCCAGGAGGTTCACACCCAGCAGAGTTGGTCTTAGAAAGAGTGATAGGAACCATGCAAAAGCCTGTGTATTTGCTGAACATTACTACCCTTTCACAGCTAAGGAAAGATGGCCACCCTTCTGTTTATGGACATGGAGGACATAGGGACATGGATTGCAGCCACTGGTGCCTAGCTGGTGTTCCTGACACTTGGAATGAGCTTTTATATGCTAGTTTCATTCAAATTTAAGTTTTAGTTACTGCTTATTACAAATAAAATGGGTCCTACAAAATCCATAATTCTATTTCGACATTAAAATAAATCAAATCAAGATTTGTATAGATTTATCAAATAAGGTATCTCATATTTTAAAATTGTATTATTTTGAATTTTAATTTTGGCTCTCTGTGAGAACTCAAACGTGGAATTCAAGACTTACTTGTAATGAAGGTACACTCAATAAGAGTAGTGTTAATAATACATTGCTTTTATCTATTTATTTATCTAAGATAATGAAATTTAAAGTTATTTAGTTGTTGATAATTTATTATAATTTTATATATAAAATTTTGATATTGTCATGTTTAAAGCAAAATAAAAACTCATACACTTAATATATTCGTGTCGAAAGAAAGAAAAGTTTTATCAAAAGTTATGAAGTTTATTATTTAATTTGTAGGTTTTAACAAAAATTTGAAGGTAAATTTATGTTTTCAATTGACATTCTCTATATATAAAATTATCCTACATGCTATTTTACATATAAAATGATGGTAAAAATCAAGATATAAAGTATATATTTAGCCACATCAATCATTAAAAATTCTCTAACTCTGCCATTGCAGAGTATCTTTTCATGTAATTTATAAAAATAACATAAACTATTATACAAGATATAGGCTATCACACTACCCATGTGATAAATGGAATTTATAATTTGTATTAAGCGATTAGTAACTTAGAAAGAGTAAAACTATATCTATCATGTTATAGGATCGAATAAAATCATTCTAAACGATAAAATTTAACATAAAATTCAAACAAGAGATCACAGTTTAAACTCATATGTTAGTTGGTTACCACTGTCTAACTTGAGAGTATTATAATAATTGCAACAAAACATTACATATATATACATATGTGTGTGTATTACACAACAAAATGCAATTGAAAGGTTAAAATGTACCATTTTGATACTTTATAGTATTTAAAGAAAATTTAAAATTCTGATGCATATTTGGGTTTTTTTACTCCAATTGTCCATGAGTGAATACTTGCTCTGACAAGTATAACCCAATACGTTGAAGGTTATATATAATAAAACATAATGATACAAAATATTATTTCCATTCTAAGAATTATAAACAAAATACAAATAAAAATGTTAATAAACCAACCTCAATAATTAATAAATTTATACTTCTTACAAAATTTATCATCATGAGCATGCATTTTAGAGTCTACAGTACGCTGTAATATATTTAAAAAAACTAACTTATTAATTATTAATACGATTCATTTTAATAGTTCTTATAGAACTATTTGAATTAGACACTTAATTTACCAGTGGGTGAGACAAATAAGAGGACGTATGAATGCAGTTTTTTCTTAATAAGTTTATATATTATTATTCCTAATAATTTATGTCTCAAAGTTAATTAAGGACCTACCTTCAGAAACCTTATTGTGTTTATGAATTGCACATATATATGCTGGTTCTTAACAGCTTTGAAATTTAAATTGCAAAACAAAGTAAAGCAAATCTTTCATGCAACCACAATGTATATTTGAATAATAATAATTATTATTATTATAACAAATTGAAGAAAAATTAGTAAACTATCAATATTAATTTTTCTTTTGGGTAAAAATTATTTAAAATAATACGGAGTGTAAAATTTAATGATAAAAAGAAACGAAATGAGAAGTATTTCCTTTCAAATTATTATTTTTTCTGCATATGAGATTAGAACTATAACTAATTTTATTTGGATCTAATTAATTTTTTATTAATTACTGAGGTAAATTTAAAATATATCATATGAATTAAATAATGTTAATACAAATAAATATAATCCTTTTTTTAATTGTATGTATTCAATATAATTCCATTATCTACATACATGTTAGTGTGATAATCATAATACATGAAAAGTATAACATATATGGTAAAACTTTAGACAAACATTTTTTATCTCCCAATTATTTGTAGTATTAAGTTTGTTAATATTAAAAATACAACAATTGACATTTCTTCATGTATATAATAATTTTGACGTTATTTAATTTTAACTCTCAAAAAGTTATTCAAAATCCAAACATTTTAAAAATCAAATTAATGTAATATGTCTTTAATCGGTTAAATAAACAGTTTAATCTTTTTAAGTATTATGAACAATAATACTATTATACTATAAAACATTAATATTCCTTCTTTAACATTAACTTTTTGATTGAGTTGGAAAGATTGAAAATTTGGATAACAGTGAAAAGTAAAAGGAGTACTTGTCCAAATTACCATGAGCCTTTTTTCTATTTTTGTCCTAAACAAATAAAATAAAAAATTATTGATAAAAAAAAAGTATTATACTCGAAACTCGATCGCTCAAAAGTCTAATACCAATCAAGAGTTGAGGAGGCACATTCTCACGGCCTTTTGTTTCTCTTTGATCAATAGCTTTATCAATTAAATTTTAAAACAGGTTATATTTAATTGTAGTTCAGTAGGAAATAACAAGGTGATTTATAGCAAGGACATGAGACAACGTAGAATTGAAACAAAGAAAAGGAAACAAAATTGTAATTTTATTAGTTATTCAACGATGTACTATGTCAAGGCTATTAATTTATGGAGCAATAATCTCATTTTGCTCTATAGATAATGGTAGTAGTGGTGGTGGTGGAGGTGAATTATGAACAGCTTCATCATCACAATAGCCATCTAATATATCGGTCTCTTCAGTGGTGAAACCTAGAGATTCAACAATGTTAGGCCAGCAATCATGTCCAATCACCCTAATTGCTTGGCAGCAATCATGGCCTAGGTAAGTCTCACCATTCACAAAAAATGTTACAATTTCACCACTACATGCATGCAGCTTCAATAGTGACTCCCAACAATTAGAGGGTTCACCTTGCATCTTCAACCTAAATGCAAGGCTCATGGTAGATGATGGGTTGGAGAGTGATCTGGAATCAGCCACATATGTTGATGAGACCAATGCAGTAATTACTAACGCAACAAGAATAAAGGGGTTTTGAGTATTGGATGCCATTTTGGTTTTAGAAGAAAAAGGTGAAATGATGTTTGTGCTTAGTGTGGATGATTTTGGTGAAAAGTAGCAAAGGGTTTATATAGTGGGGGTTGTGCAAGTAGTAGTAACAGTTGGTGTATGGGAAGATGAAGAGTGTGAAAATAATTTTGTGGTGGTTACATAAGGAAAGTGAATAAGATTCGAGGAGGTTGTTCATATTCTCCATATTAATTGATTAATGATTGATATTATAGATTAATCACTTTACTAATATCCATTATTTTAATTGACCGTTAAGAAGATATAACGTTATAAACCAAGAGTCTGCATCTTAGACAACACGCAGGTAAATGAATGTTGTGTGTATTCTGTAAATTTTTTTAAATGGTTATTTCCTTTTTATAAGATAACATCTAATCTGATTTATATAGATGTTATTTTAAAAAAATGGATATAATATGTTTTGCTTTGTAAAAGTAGATGATGGGTGCATTACATTAATTGACTCAAAACTTGTTCATTATCCGACGACAACCATAAACGACCATTATTAGGTTTGGTATGTTTGGAACATGGAGCTGCAATGGTTATCATTTTTGTGCTTGAATGTGTATAGGCTTCATAGCTTTGCTCTACATCATGCAACATATATATATTGTAGAAAAACAATATCTCATACACGATATTTTTTTTATATTATTTATTCTATTATATTATTATAAACGAATTGTAACGAAGTCATGATAAATTCTCACTTTGCTGAACCAATTGAGGTTTATATTAACGAAGTGAAATCAGAAGGGTAGTTCCCTGCTTGACCATATATAAAAATAGAACCGATCAATATTTGATTTGTGTAAGTTTCATAATTAGCAACTTTTTACTCAGTGCATTATATACATGTTTTTAAATTCAAGTAACTTTTATAGTACTTATTTTATGAAAATAGTAAATATTCTTATTATTAGAATTAAATATTCTATTTTACTGTTTGTCAACAAATAAAGGAGAGTAACATTTAAATTTACGGAAAAAATTGTGAAAAATAAATTATTTGAATCAAGAGACATTGGTCATTCTTATTGTTATGGAGTGTCAAAATTTAAAAATTAAATTTAACTTAAGCTTGATTAATATTTTAATAATTTTCAATTTTAATTTATAAAATAAATTACTTTAATTTGATATTTAATATATTAAGGTTCAAAGTTTAAAATTTAAATCAAATTTAAATAAAAATTGAATATAAATAATTGTTTAAAAAGAATAAAAAAATTATTAAAAATTAGATATTTAAAATAAGAGAATAAGTCATGTATCTTAATTAAAAAAATAATTCCTAAATAAATTCTATCTTAAGAATAAATATTTACATTTCTAATATAAAAAGTAGAACAAATACCCTATAAAATTTAGCTAATATAAGGCTATAATATATTTCCAAGGCTTACATCTGAAGCTTTATATGATCTTTTGAATGGAGTGAGTTATTTTTTGCAAAGTAGAAAAATAAGAAATCATCTATCTTTGAATTCTTACAGAATAGTACTACTTTGTATTTTAAATTAAATTGATAATAAATAATTTTTATTTTTTTACTTTACAAACAAATTCATTTTAGAGAAAATCGTCCAAAATTAATGATTGCAAATATGTCTTAGAAGTTTTATCTTTATTCTTGTTAATGTTTAACTTTCATTAATTACTTTTAATAGTTTAATAGATTTTCAAACAATACTAATTATTGATAACTATTCTACAGAATCAAATATATTTCTATTTCTTAAAAATAAAAACAAAATCAATTCTAGTTCTTAAAATATATATTTAATTTTCTTCAGAAATGCTCACAAGTCACAATTTAATTTATTGAAAAAGAGATAAAATTCAAAATACAAATATATTTGGTTTAGTTAGAATAAATTTTTAATTCTAATTAACCTAATTAAAAATAATTTATATTAAATTGGATTGGATTGCATTGCATTGCATTATTCAATTTTTATTTATGTATTATTTTTAATTTGTTTAGAACATGGAAAAAAAATACATTTTATTATATATTTTATGCTATTTTTAATTAAAAATTATTCTTATAAAAAAGTTGTATAGTAAAAAGGCTTAATTGTATTTTTAAATTAAATGTCTCCCCCAAAAGATTTATTTAATAATGAATAAAAATGTAACAAATCTGTAACGCATTACTAATTTATACAAATTTATAAACAAAAATATAAAAATAATTAAATATAAACATTTATTCTACTTTCCACATTATTTAGTATTTTTATTTGAATAACTTGTACATTTTGTTTTGCTAATTTATATAGATAAAAGAACATTTCCCACATTCATTATAATTATATTTTTATTAATTGTTGGATAAATTTTTTAGGTTAAGAAATTACAAGGACCAATAATTCAATTAACCTAATAAAAAACAAAAATCCTTCAAAGACAAATGTATTACCACTTAGAAGAAAGTCCTCTAATTGAAGATTTAGATCACCAAATTATCCTCTAAAAATTTAAATGTTATTACATTAGTCTTTCAAAAATTTGTCACTGCAAGTCTTTTTAACACGATTTTAGTTATCCATAGCCATTGATATTTGATATGATTTATGAATGCTCCTAAAATTAGTTCTCATAAATTATAAAATTTTAACATAGACTTTGTTATTACTTGAGAATGAGACAACGTGCATTTAAATATGTCAATTTGCATCATTTTAAAATATGTCTAACATAGCATGTATGAATAGATTATACATACAGTATATAATCATTACAAAAATTATATTTAAAATTAATATTTGTAAATATTAAAATTTTAAAAATAAATTTAGTTATATTTACAAAAATTAAAAATATAATTTATCCTTATTTTACATGATTAATTAATAAATATTATAATTGGCTTATAAATAGGTAAGAAAATGGAGTCAGTTTTTGTTTTCTTTGTTTTAAAAAAATATGTATGACATAAAAGGTAATAAAAAACGGATTAGGAAGTAGTAATATAATTAAATTATTAATGGTTTGGAACAATATTTTATACTAACATTAAAAATATATACATATATATATATATATATATATATATTCACTCAATAAAATTTATTCAAATTAGTAGACAAAGGTTTATATAATTTTTACTTACTTTTATCTATTCAAATAATATTTTCTTATTTTACTCTTTTATTTATTATTTCACTGCTAATCTAAACAAACTCAAATGATTTTTTTAAATAAACTCTAATGTTTTCTTAAGATAAGAAGTGAAACAAGAAAATGAATAAAAATAATATAAAAATATATTATTTAGATGAATGAAAATACAAAGAAAAAAATCTCTAAATGGATAAGTGAAAGAGAGAGTGAAAAAAGAACAGTATTAAAAATTTTAATAATTATGAAGCTTTTTGTCTATTGCACAAATATTATTAAAATAAAATATTTTTTAAAATAAAAGACATTGTGTGTGTGTGTGTGTAAAAAACATTTAAGGTTGGGAAGTGTGTGTAGAAACACAAAGTAGAAACTTTGATGTTGCAATCCAATTCTTTCTTAGTTCGTCTTAGGGGGCGATACGATTGGGAATTATACCTCTTCTTGTTTTTACTAGGGTTCTTAGTTGTGTGTGTTGTGTTATTAAAACATTTAATTCTATGATTAATGTATGTGTTATGTGTTATGTGATTAAAACGTTTAATTCTACGATTAATTTTATTATTAAATTTTTTAATAAAAAATTACTAAATGATGCAAAAGTGGATATAATCTAATGATTAAAGTTTCTTTATTAAATAACATGCTTATTATTATTTACTAAAATTTATTAAAAAATTTAAAAGTAGGAGAGAAAATTATTAAATTAAAAGTAAAAATTATTAAATTATGAATAAGAACCATATCATTTTTGTATTCCTTTTAATAAATTTTAGTCATTAATTAAGAATATGTTTAAAAGAGTGTATTGTTATAATTTCTTCTATATTAATATATTTATTATTTTTCATGATAAATGAATGCAAAATTAAAACATGGTAAATCTTATTTTAGATAAACTTATATAAAAGACTTTATAGAAAAAAATAATATAAAAATAAATAAATTTAAGTTAAAGATATTCCTAAATTTTGAACAAGTTAAATGAGAAATTTTTTTAAAAAATAGTAAAATATAAAAGTATGTGTTTTTTATTTTTAAAAAGAATTTTATTTTTTAAAATAAAAAATAAATATATTTTTTGTTTCTAAAAAAGAAAAAACTCTTTAAAAAGTAAATCAAACATACTCCTAAATTTATTTATTTATTTTTTCTTAAACTACAAACAGTTGAAAGCAATCTTACTCCAGGTATAGGACAATACAAATGCATTTATTAATACTCGAATTCAAGATCATAAGATAAGTTGGAATGACATTTTGCCAATAAATTTATAAGTGGTACATAAATTATTTTTAACTTACAAAAGAAATTCTATTTATTTTTTACATTATTTTTTTTTTTACTTATAAAAACTTTTTTAAAAGTTTGCATAAACTAAGTATAACCAAATATAAAAGGAAAATTTTTATTTTATTTTATTTTATTTTATTTGTTCCTTCTTCATCTCTTATCCTCACTACTCTTTGTATCTCTGAATTGCATATATAATTCAAGCTTTAATATAAAACCACAGACAAATATGTAACCGTTTGCTTCCGTCACCCTTTTGGCAGATACCAATTAATCATCACATTTGCAAATAAAACTCCAAACCCAAACACCACCACCAACCCTTGTCTACTGCCATCTTTTCACCTCTCTTTCGTTTCCATGGGATCTATCTCCATATCATTTGTGCTGTTTCTTACCCTTTTCATTCAGATACATGCAAGTGATTATCTTTATCACAAGGAGTCAAGAGGCTTTGCAAAGAATGGCTGTAACCTGTTTGAAGGAAGCTGGGTCTATGATGATTCCTACCCTCTTTATGAAACCTCACAGTGTCCCTTTATAGAGAAGGAATTTGA